TGCGTAGATCGTTGCAGTCCCTGAAAACTAGGTTGATACTACTAGCCCGGGACACCAGACCCCGCTCCCGCATCCCGGAGTTGATGCATTTGTTGCTTCATCTGTATAGACAGAAAGGCTTCACCTCGGCCCAGTTAGCCCCGTTTGTTTCAAAATTTCAGATTCGCTTCGGCCTCAGAGCAAAACAACAGAAAGGACGACATAGGAAGTTAGGGCTGGTGCTGGCCATACATGTCACCCGTTGGGTTTTTGGGGGATCATACTTCTACTTGAGCATTGCAACAGTGACCTCGTAGCACCTGGGCTCTGACCTCCGGTTTCACTGGGTTTCAGGGTTTTGATTTTCACCTCGTCCACTTGTCATTGGTTTTGACACTCTTCCGTTCCATTGTTCTACACTTTCATGAGTTTCAGTTTTGAAGGTTTCTGTTCCTTATCGTATTGGAGCCCAGCACGTTTTCACCCTTCGTACAATATGCCGATGGATTCGGTAGCTAAGAGCCGCGCCCTTCGACCATCTTGGGTGGTGGAAGAAGACACGGATGTGCCTGCGCCTGTGCCTGCCCCCTTGGCTGCAAATATGTCGGCTGGCGCGAATGGTGGGGGACCTATGGTGGGGGCCGACGATGCGACTCTCGTGCCTTCGGGCAACTCCGTGCCTCATTCCGCAATTAGCACGCCGCCTGGTGGAGAGATGAGTGGTGGTGAGATGAGTGCCGTCCCAATGAGTGGAGCAACTGGACCTGCAGCTTCGGTTGAGATTCAAATGGGACCACTGCAGGCTCGTTTTCATTTTGCCAACGTGCAGAATTTCTCATCATTCTTTTGGCAACTGGTTCCAGCCTTTTCGGGGTTACAGGCAAGCAACGTGCTTATGAACCCCGGGGGTCCATACATGACCCATGCTCAACCAACGGCAATTACTGGATCTTCGTCTAGCCTGGTTCCCAATTCAATTCCACATCAGACCCAACCTCCGTTGCAGATGGTTTCGTCTTCGGTTCCACAGTCGATTCCGGACCCTAGGGTGCAATGGTTTCCACCCAGACTCCACGCGTTCCTCCCCCGCGATTGTTGGAAACCAGCTGCTGAGTTTTGGGTTCATACTCCGGAGTTGCAATTGGAGGATGATCTTTACGAAGAGCGTCGTAACGTTTCTGTTATGCATGGATTTGTGGAATACGTGTTTGCAGCCCAACCGGTTTTTAACACTTTACCTGAACTCTGCGATATCCAGATTTGGGAGCAGGGTAAGCTGGTGGATTTCTCCACCTACACAAAGTGGCATCGTTTGGGGCCAGTGGTGGGCCTTCTTCGATCTCGAATTTTGCACAGTTCTGGACGTAGGCGGACCATTGATGAGGTTTTCGTTCGAAAATGGGTTCCACAGGATGCCAACATACATGTGGTTCCCATGATCATGGAGTATCTTTGGTCCTTGGTTGAGCAAGCCCCGCCTGAAAATCCCATTGTTGGTGCACTGGACAGCTATTGCCCAAATTTTGGACATTAGCGATACTGTTCACCGGGTTCAGTCGGTTGAGGTCAAGGATCTTAACCCCAGCGCTAGCCCACGTTGGGCGATTATAGTGTGGCTGGACCAGCCAACGACAGTGCGCCGGCCCGATGCATTCAGTCATTTCTTCTGGATTGCACATAATACGACCTTTGAGGCTTCGGTTCATTTGTTAGCCACGGGTCAATTTCGGCCCACACGGTATCAGATAGCTGATCCCCTGTGGCAACCGCCCATTAGTTTCTACACCCGTGCCCACCCATATCAGTTGGATGTGGCGCTAAACCAAGCCGCAAAATATGGCGGATGGAATCACCCCACCCGGCCCTTTTCCATTTTAGGGCGCGCCGCGGGTCGGCAATTAGAGCATACTAGGATTGCACAGGGTGGCGTAGAAGCAGATATATCTGCCACTTTGATGCACGATGTAGTGCGCGCTCGTGATGGGCGCTGGTGCGTCAAATGTTCCTGCGCGGCAGCTTACGGGCTTGCCGTCTACCTGTAGGAGCATTCTTTTCACCTACTACTCGTGTTAAATTGCTGTACTGACAGCCCCAATTGGATTGCCGACAAATCCGACCACAGGAACTGCCTCAGGTTTCGATGTCATTTTTGTTTTAAGGAGGGTGTCTTGCAGGACCTTCGGTAACCGGACGGTACTGGTGTTATCTCCCGGTGACTCACCCCCACCTTCTTCTGTTGTTTTCACCGAACCTCCGATCTGGGGTGAATTGCCAAGCCTTCGCCCGACTGCTATACAGAGACCTGTTTTCATGTGTTTCGGGTTCCTTTCTTCCGTGTTCAGGGTTTGCTTGTTCTTTACGGGTTGCTTGTGTTGGATTGGACTTCTGTTCCTCCTTTAGTTTGCGGTGCATTAGTTTGTTTAGAGTGAACACGGGTAGGCTCTTTTGAGTTCTACGAGTCGTTTTTAAGGGACGCGCGTTGGATCTGTTGGGTTCCAGAGAAAGATTTCTTCATCCTTTGACTTCGGCGGCATAAGAGAGGGTATGGCTACCGTTTCTACAGGGGGTGGGATGTCGGACTTATATATATGATGTTGGAGACCGATCGACGGTTTGCCCCTTGGCTCAACAATGCAATGCAACGCAATGATGTGATATTCGGCCTAAGTTTCCTTTGCCCTGTAGAGTGTTGGTTTTGACCTTGACCCTATTGTCTATGGAGCGTTCTCCGGCTTCCAGAGATGCATTGGCTGCTGAATTGCTTCGGATTTTGACAACCGCTAGTACTCCATCGGGATCTTCCAGTGACTCGGAATCCATTGATTTGAATGGCCAAGAGTTCCGAGAGATGTTGGCACGGTACATCGAACTCACGGACCAAGCCCTCCATGAGATGCGCACCCGTATTACCTCTTTGGAGAACATTGTGTCACCTCCCTAGGACACCCCGGTGGACCAGACACCTTACATCATTGGTTACATACTGGAGACTTGCCCCACAGCCAAAAATTGCCCGACAGGATGTTCTTGAATGGTTTCTGCGCCATACCTGTTTTTCGCGATTCACGATGGGATCGTACTGTATGGACTTTTTACCCTAGCTTGACCTGATTTGCGGGTTTTGTTTCTTGACGCGGGGTGTCGGGGGTTTTGTTCAGCTTGGGCATTGAGGTTTCCGTCTTTCTCTCTCTCTCCCTTTTTTGGTTTAGTTGAATGGTTTCTTGGTGTGGAGTGCCTTCCATGCGACGTGGCGCCGCTTGGCATATTCAGGTTGATGACATTTTGGCTCTAATTCCCCGCCTTATCTTTCCGTTTGTTTTTGTCCCATGACTGATACTCCGGATCGTCCTTACAGTTTCTCTGACTACGACCGAGTGGCTCTGTGGGAGATTGATACCAAGTTGATGGAACATCATGCTAGGATTCGACGGACCGTTACCTACATGGAAAGGTTGGATTACCAGATTGGTCTGTTACAGCGAGATGTTGATCGGTTTCGCGAACGTCAGGCTATTCCCCAGCCCTCCATTCATCATTTACAGCTGGAGATTGAACAGTTACACCAGTCCAATTTTGCCCTTGGTTCCATGATTTCACTCCAGTTTGATATGCTTCGTCGAATACAGGAGGCTTTCCAATTACATTCTGATTCTGTCATTTGGACTTTGTGGCTTCGGGGGATTCACCTACATCCTCCCTCTCCTCACCCTCCTTCAGTGACGCCGTCCTTAGCTACTAGGAGAGGACATCTTCGCACTGCCCGTAGGTCTCCTTACTGATGCGATTGGCGTCACCTGAGACAAAAGATCGATGATATTTCTAGAGTGAAATATATTCACCTCGCTGCGGCGGGGTGTGTGTGTGTGTGCAACTAGAAATTTACCACTTGAACATTCACAGCAGGGGGACCATCCAGTTGCTATGTGCGATGGTCCAACGAAGCGGCCATAGCAACTGCGGATATCAGGGCTGATCACCCTGACGTACCTGCGATAGTTATACTGTTTGTGACATCATTCATCGTACAAGCTGTGCATGGTACTGAATCCTGTGTTCATCATCGCTGTGCAGACCCAGAAATGAGACTTACCCCATAATAATAATAATCATCGGTGACTTTGCTGCATAAAAGTCTCTTGGCGTGGACAACAAGTGGATTGTCAGAAATTTACCCGTGGAAGTGTGTGTGTGTGTGAGAGCGTGAGAAACCGCTGGCTGAACATGCGGTGCATGGCTCGAGCACATTTGCATAAACGTGTGCGTTGTGAACATCGTCACACACACACACACCCCATCGTCGTCTTCACCTCTTCTTCGTGGTGTACCATTCCTTCGTGTCTGGAAAACTGAAGCAGGAATCCACAATATACATCGCAGCCTACATCATTCAAAATCATTCATCATCTTCTATCTCAACATCGACGTTGTGCTGCTTTGGGTAAATTCTCATGCTGGCGTGACGTTGAGTTCGTTCGACATCATCCTTACCATTGAGCCAGGTGAAAGCATGTCCAATGAGTGGGCAAAGTGCGGACCGACTGGGCAAAACGGGCTTGCAAAGGTCAGCATGTACTTGGCTTGGGAGTGCAGCCTGCTGACGAATCGTCTTTAACGTAGGCCTGGCTAACTGCTTTGTGCGCTTGTCAATCATCGGCGGTCCAGCATGCCGCGTGATTTTGGGTAGTTCGATTGAGGCTGGCAATATCGGGGTTTTGGTGGAGTAGTTCGTGCTTGTGGCAAACCTTGACGAAACATGATTCGGTACAATTCGCAGTGGCTACGAGGTTGCGGGACTGGTGATGTGGAAATCTTAGCCGTGCTTGAACGAGACAGGCACAGTAGATCCAGCTGCTGCGGCCGCAGCAGCACTGGAAGATCCGAGGCTTGGCTTAGTTTTGCGTTCCGGGACTCAGTGCTTGTGGTCGTAAGGCTATGAGGGGTATAAGCGACATTGAGAGCAACAGTTCCATACAGAGGGAAGCAGAGTTCGTCATCCGAGGAACGTGCCAGCCGACACCATCATGGCATCGGCTCGAACCTGAGGTCGAAACAAGGGCCTTTTCAGAAACAGCCGTGCGAGCATGCGGCATTGCAAAAGAATTGTTTTAGTGTTAGTTAATCTTCTGACCCGCGATGCCCAGGTCGCAGCACACACGGAAATTGTGCAGACTGTAGCCTCCATGCCGCAGGTGGCTTTGGGGCTTGATTGGAGCCAGTCGGGGAAGGTGTGTTGGGCGCGACATTCAACCATCCAACGGGCGAACATCTCATGCAGCGGAGTTGCTACCTTGAGTTGCGCATTTTGATTATTCCATTGTTGCTCTTTGCGGGCGGAATCGTTTTGACAACATTAACGATTGTGAAATGGATGTTTGCTCATTCTAAAACTCTCAAGTACTGAGATTTGAAGACAGCAATGTTTGCTCCAGCTCCTTAAGCACGTTAACCGTTAAATCGCATGCCGAGCCCAATCAAAGTTCGGAAACCATAACCATGTGGGGATTGTTGAATCGCAAAGCCTGCAGATACCTTTCACGTTGCGCCATGCACAAAAGGCAAAGTTTCCATTCCCCGCAACGCCCTTTGAGGGTCTCACGAATTGAGGTTCCGCATAATGCCAAGATTTATATTTATATTTATATTTATATTTATATTTATATTTATATTTATATTCATATTTACATTTGTATTTGTATTTGTATTTGTATTTTATATGTAGATTCATATGTATATTTTTATGTATATTTTTATGTATATTTATATGTATATTTATATGTATATTTATATTTATATATTTTGTATTTGTATTTATACGTATATTTATATTTATGTTTATATTTAAATTTAAATTATATGTATATTTATTCATATATTTCTTTCTTGACTTACTCAGTTATTTGTTTCAGATGTACGCTGCTGCGTACCTGCCATGATTGTGGGCAGCACAGGCGCATTTGCAGCTATGCCTGGGTACAATGCAGGAGCGCCGGTGCACGTGCCAGGTTCAGACTTCCGATTGTTTGTTTTGAATGCTGCTCATCATGGGGTCGCTAAGGCGCTTTACATTGTTGGTTGAAGGGCCGTTCCTTGAAGAACGTTCCATGCACCAGTAGGTGCGCGATGGAGATTTTTAGATGCCACTTGTGAGGAATTAGCCAAAGCTGCGTCGGGACCTCGGCAAGACTTGTTCGAGGTTTTTTCATTTATTCATGTTTAGATCTCTAACCCACGTGCGCAACTTTGAGCTATGCCTGAGGCCTGAGCGTGCCCGTGCTGTTCTGCTGGAGCATCCGCAGCTTTGCCGCTAGCTTGGCCTTGCGGCAGTGGATTGGCCTTTTGCCAGGTTACTCTGATTTGTGCTTCCCATTGTCGTCACGATGGGAGAATCCGGCAGTCGTGCTGCCAAAAAGCTTGACCTTTTGGCTCCACAACAGATTGAGCTTCAACATGCCCACGACTGGAGCAGGTAGCCACTCAACACTTTCAGCGTTTGAAGATGCAAAATTGTCCACTCTCTTACGCCACATGAGTGTTCCAAAGTCCAACCAAGCCCGGAACATTAATCTAAGCGAAGCAATCGAGGCCATGCGCTCCTCCACGGCCAGTTCTTGCTGGGGCTCAGCCTTGATCCGACGATGCCGCCGGATCCTAAAACACCAGCGGCTGCTTTATTACAATTGTAAATTGGCCTAAGTTCGGGTAAGGTTTCCAGTATGGGGAAGATATGCGTGAAATCAACTCCTGGATGTTGCAATTCTAGGTCGTGAAGGGACACGAATGTTTTGATCACTTCACGAGTTCGATTCAATTGGAGGTCAGATCGATTAGAAACCACACAAATTGAACAAATAATGGGTTGAAGCAGGAAATCAGTTGCTGCATTTCACAAGCGTTCATCTCGAGCAGCCCGTGCCTGATCGAGACAAAAGAGCAGCAACAAATTCTGTTGATCAATGGGGAGCGGGGCTACCAGAAAGTAGCCCGCCCCCAAGAACAAACGTGGTGATGAGTTCACCTGTGCTCCACGACTGCACTTCTCTAACTCAATCACTTGGACATCTACTGGGACACTCACTGACAGGCAGTGGCATCCCGATGCCGATGGGCAGCACAACTGTACAGAACGACCTGCTCGTAGCCCGGGCCGTCCTCTGAAAAGATGGGATGATAAACTTCGCGCGTTTTGCAAGCATCATTTCTCACACAACAATGTTGCGTGTTGTCGTGCGCTGGTATCTTTCCCCACCATGTCCTCAAAAGGACCGTAGTCTTGGTGGCTTTTGACTTTGGCTCGAAGGGGCGAATGCGAATGCGAATTCTAGTCAAACTGAAGTTCTAATTAAATGCCAATTGCATATGATGGCTAGAAAAGCAGAATTTGGCTTGTAAAGGCCATGGCACAAGCAATGTCCCAAATCCACATGTTTTTGACCCTTTAGACTTTTAGATCAGTTGTTTTCGGTGGAACCACTGGGGACGGTTTTCTTGTTTTTAATTTTATCGCTAACGCGAGGCCGCCTCGGCAAGGGTACCGAGGCGGCAGGATGGGAAAGTGGGGAGGGCCAGAGGGGCAGGCAAGGAGGGGGGGGACAAGGGCAAGGGGGGAAGGGGGTAAACTCAGGCGGCATGTCCGTCGGACAACAAACGCTCGCACTGTCGCTTCACCTGTGTTGCTTGTTGCTTGCCAGCTGTGTACAGGTTCGGGTTAAAGTTGAAAGCTTTGGGGGGGCTCCGAGATTTGGCTTCGCGCGGTGTCAGGGGTGGGAGGGGGGGGGGGGGGGGGGAAATGCTCATTCTCCTAGGCAAGCAATGCTGTGAATTTTGTTAAATCAGGCATTGCTGATCAAATACTATTTAAAACAAGTATTAATGACTCATTAAATGGTCCAATATGACTGCAGTACGAACTGCCAGACCAATTTACCATAAGCAAAGTATGAGCAACTGTTAAAACAAATCTCTTGGCATACTACTTCAGATGCCTGCAGAAGCACAATTTGCAGATAACCCCTAGAAAGCACAGTTTTCCTAGAACAATGCACAGTTTGCCTAGATAAAGGCCAAGGTGTTATACGATAATCCGCAAAGCCAGAAGCAGAGAAAATGGAAATACAAATAAGGTTAAACAAACATTACAAACTACTCGCAGAGCCAACACCCCCCCCACCTCCCCCTCCTCCCCCTCCCTCACCCCCTCCCCCTCCTCCCCTTCCCTCCCCCCCTCCTCCCCTCGCCCTGCCATCCCCTTACATTTGCTGGGTGGACACGCGAAGAACACAATTATCAAAGCCTGGCACCATTTGCCATCGATTTGTATGGGACGGTGCACGGCACAGGAACCCCCACTGGCGCAGTTCCTCGAAGGTTTGCACAAATATATGTTGCAGCTTAACCTATTTCGTATAAGATGCAGCAGCGCATCCACATCGACAAATGAAAGCAGCTCGTATAATCTGTCTCGAGGAAGACGCCAAGGCCACGTGTTTGTTATTTGTTTCAGTTTGCTTGTAGCACGTTTAAGCTTGCACCTCTGGTGCTACGAAGTGGCACGGTGTGTATATGTATTTATATTATATTTAAATACATATTCATATGCACATTAATATACAGTGTATATACATATACACATATATATATATATATATATATATATATATATACACGCACATGAATGTACACTATTTAGCAGTGTATTTCTAGTACACAATGTGAATATGCAGGATATGTACAGTATATCCAGTAAACGGTGTTTCGAAAGGCCAGACCTGGCTGAGACTGCAGAGCTGCGGGCGGAGGCCGTGCAGCGAGCCCGGAGCCCTGTCAGAGTCTGCAACGAAACACAAGTTTAGGAATTTCGGCTGGACTGAGCTTGCTGCCCCGGGCTTCGTGTGTACCTATGTGCAGAGTCAGTGCGGCTGCTGTGCGGCCAGCGGGTTCCACTCTGTTCTACAAGGTTTTGCACGTCCGTCCAGCAGTCAGGGTCGCGTTGCTGCATTGTTCCACCAAGTGCTAGCTATGGGCATTCTTGTAGAACAAATCCTACAGGTGGCTAAGACCCTGTGCATGTTCAATGTTGCAGGGCAATTGCTTGTTGTTGCCTACGCAAATGAATTCATGTTCTACATGAAACTCACCAGCTTTGCGCAATCTCGCTTCACATGCCCATGTTCAGGCCATGTCCAACTCAAAGACCTTGGCTGGACGGCATCGGGGTGCTGAGCTTCCGGCTGAATTGACCAGGTCATGAAGGATCAGAGCAGAGAGGGCAACAAATCGCGGGTCAATGGAAGCAGGGAGCTGCATGTGCAATCAATTACACTTTAAGGTTTGCGCAAAGCATCGCAAAGCCATACCGTTCAGGGCCCGGTTCACGCCGCGCGCAGCAACTTCCTCCGAGTGCAGGAAGCAGAGTTTGTTCGAATGGCTTTGACGGCTTGGCTTGTTTCCCGCAGCCAGGCATTGGCAGATTGTCCGGATCGAACGGCGAGTCAGACGAAATATGCAAGTGCAACACACGAGTCAGACGAATGAAGGCGTAAAAAGCAAGACAACAACTCATCATCAAGTTCACCTGCTCTATCCTGCTTTCACGTTGTGCTAGGCATTCTTGGCGCGGTGCTGCAGCAGTGTTGCCAAACTGCTTGAGTTCTTCTCCCTTGTTATCAGGACTGTAGAGCCACGCATCCTGAAACTCAATCACCAATTCTTGGACGGAAGTCTTTTTTGCTCAGCCTGGAAAGGTTTGCGGGCCTTCAAAAGGATTCTATGACATCCGATCGTGCATGTACGCCAAATCCTTCGATAGGAGCACTGCAGCGTGAAACGAAACTAAACTTCACGAAGGGCAAGTTTTCGTTCAGTTTTGTGCATGAACAGGGCCATGGATCACAGTACCTTGCAATGGTCAAAGGGTACGACGCTTGGCACGAAGCGTTGAGCATTGTGCCAGGTTCCATTGTCCAGAGGCGCGGCTTGCTGCAATTGGTCATCGGTTTGCTGACTGGCTAGGGGGTGTCTATGTGCGACACATGCCCGTCCAATGTGCAAGTTGAAGCTTGAAAGAAGGAGACTTGCTATGGTTTGTGTGTGTCAGCACAAATACAAAAGGACAGTAAACACAGCTGTCCTTGTCATGATAATTACAGGATCCTGCGTTCGTTTTTCGAAAACTTCGTGACCGCTCCCACGAACGAGATTGCATCAGCTTCCTACATCTAGACTTTAAGCTAGGCTTTAGAGACCCGCGCCGCCATTTTCAACCAATAGATGACATCTGTTGGACACGACAACCCAGACCACTACACTCTGCGATGCTCGCCAACGCTTGTGGAAGTTTGGGGCCCTTTTCTTTGCTCTAACCGTCTAACCTGCATTGAATGAGTTCATGCGAATTCTGCCGCCAAATTATGATGCCAGAATGTCCGACAGCGAAGAGTCGGGAGAGCTGTCAGCATGCAGGTGCAAACGTAAGTGTTCCGTACCCTGCGCCGAATGCTCGGGTCTCAGTCAACGTACGTGGGTTTTGCACAGCCGGCCGAGAAACATGATTTGCGAGCACGGCCAAATTGCCAACAGTCCCCCACTTCAAAGGGTCTGACATGTTCTGACATGTTCTGACATGTTCTGACATGTTCTGACATGTTCTGACATGTTCTGACATGTTCCGACCCACCTGACGTATCTCAGCGAGTGAAGCCCAGGTGGTGATCCCTGCAAGGCCACGACACGATCCAAAGAGCGGTTTCTGCTTGGGTTCTATCGCTTGGCATCTCGAGATCCCTGTTGTGATCCAGGCCACTGGTCCCCGGAGCCCTCGGAGGCAAGGAAGGGACTAGAGGGCCTGGAGCAAAGACTTGGGATGCTTAGCGCACTCAAGGATGGGATTGGAGCTTAAAGGTTTCTGGGTATTTCAGAGTTGGGGATCACAACGCTGCGCAAGTTCACGATTTCTCAGGTTCCGAAATGTCCAGAAGCTATGTTCTGAAAACACGACGAGCCCTTCGGTTTTAGGCTTGGGCAGGAAAGGTCCAATATATCAGCTGGTCACGCGCTAGGCTTGAAGTCTTGAACCATATCTAAACCTCCCCGCATACACCAAACTGGAGGTGCTGGAATGATGCAGCTGCCTCAGGGGAGGTCTCGGAAGTAGGAATTGGTAGGACGAGAACCCGAGTTTCGATGGTTGATGCGGGATGGAGCTCGCAGAACGTGCAACCAGTTGCAATCTGCCTGCGACCTACCGGGCCCAGATGTTTCGAGCCGAAGTTCAAAGCTGTACCTGAGGCCGCCTCCACCTATGGTGGTGCCAAGCGGAGGCCCAGAGAGTCATGGCAGTGTGGCACTTGCTTAACGTCCTGCTGTGTGTCTGCGTGGCGTGTTTGTGCCGTGTCTGGGTGTGTCAGCGTGCCTCACACTTAACGAAGCTCGCTCCTTTTTCGAGACCCTTGCGTCGCTTGCATAGGCTCCTTTGCGAAAGGGGCTCCGATGAGGCAGGGAGCAGGTATGTTGAGATGTATGTTGAGAGGTATTGGAGTCGCTTGGAGATCCGCACGAGAAGCAAACGGCGACTTGCACTCTCAACTGGATACTTTCAAGCACTCTATCTTGCTTCAATCAGCTTGAAGGCCGCCTTTCGACGGGTTCCAGGCCGATTGAGAAGCAGCTTATGCAGGGTGTACTTGGCCCCTACAAGATCATGTCCGAAAGCCTCTTGCGTGTTGCCAGGTAATGTAAAGATTAGTAAAGATTCCTGCCGCTGTACGCTTGAAAGGCAGCATGTAATGCACGGGACCTTAGTGGAGCTTGAGATGGCATTTTGCAACTGTAGAAGCAAAGGTCGAGACCGACAAAGAATGATATAGGTCTCTGATGCAATGCTCTCATGTGAAGCGCCAATAAGGTCCGATTATGAAACGCTATGTACAGCTAAGAGAAGCAGTGTGGAGTTGTCAGGGAGGTCTCTTTGACCATCGTGAGTAGCCTTCTGCATTTCTCTCAATCCCGGAATGTGAACCTGGTCAAACCTGACCGCGTGGGCCTGGGCTCAAGAAACTTGGCACGTGCTCAGAAAGTGTTTTTCTTTGCCTCCTGGTGTGGGCCTCGGCTTTCCTGGAGAGTGCACTCAAAGCATTCTGCAGAATGCAGCAAGCCGTGAGTTCGCGGTACTGCTTCAAACGTGTCCAAAAACCGATGCTGGGGTAGTGCTACATTACGAGGAACCCTTCTGAACCGCCACGTCACAGTAGGCCATGGCCCTCCGCCGACTTCTGCCCCGACTGCCCGCCGCGCGCGCGGCGCTGAACTCAGCGAGGCAGGGCCCGCGCTTCGTGCACTGGCGTTGGTTTGCCACGTGCAAGCTGCAACTGTTTGCCCAAGATCTTTGCGCCCTCTGTGAGTTTACATCTAATTTCTTGGAACCTCTTTGAGTTCCTGTGAGTTCAGGTTGCTGCACGCCTCGGCCCCAAGGAGCTTCGCTCGGAGAGACGAGGGGGGGTTGTGTTCTTCGTTCCAGGAATCCAGGAGGAAGCGCTACTGTATTAAGCCACTAAGCTCTACTGGGCCATGAAGATAAGCGCTTTGAGCTCTCCATAGCTCCGAAGACCCCCTTCTGCTCTTCAAGACATCTGAGAGGGAACGTCGCAAAAATCGCAAGCACTTGGAAGAGGAATGCTGCCAAAGTGAGCCCCGCTGAGCTCACCAAGATCCTCAGCGAGCGTATAGCCAACTTCAAGGACTGCGGGGGCTAATTTCATCTGGAGGTTGGGTGCGGATGTCCACCCCGAAACTTTGAAGCCAGCACCTTCAGGATCAGGCCGATGTGCAGGAAGTTGGCCGCGTCCTCTCTGTGGGAGATGGAATTGCGCGGATCTACGGCCTCAAGGGTGTGAAGGCGAAAGCTGGTCTTTTCAAAGTACCAATGGCAACGTTCACAAGCATGCCTCATCCCAAAAGTCCCCAAGTTCGCTCCACACATAGTCGACCCCGCTCCGCTTTTCTCAGAAGAATTACTTTCTTTCCTTCTCGGCGGAACTTCACGTTTGTCTTGTGAACCACGTCCACGCCTGGCCTTGTGCAGGCGGGTGAAATGGTTGAGTTTTCGAGTGGCTTGAAGGGCATGGCGCTGAACTTGGCTCCTGCACAGCAGCCAGGGGTCCATGTGTTGATGTTTGTGGGGGGTTGATTCGAGCTAGACGTCTAGTCGATCATCCATTCGAGGGCAGGCGAGACGCCCAGTAAGAGTTGTTCACTTCGAGCTTCTCATCTTGGCAGATGTTGTGTCTCTTGAGTGCCAGGAGCAGCTTCACGCAACTTACACATTCATGCTCTTGCTTGTGGCGAATCACGCAACTCATTTGCCCGATTGAAACTTTCTCGCACGACTCACACAACTCTCAGTGCAGATTCATGCTGTCTTTTGCTCGATCTTTTTTAGATGTCTGGGGACGAACTGAGTCCAAGGAAACGTGGGGCAGGGTGGTGTGGTGAGGGGTGGGGACGCAGACAAACTTCATCCACAGCGAAGCATCTAAGAGCTTCGGGCTTTTAGTTCAGGCCTCAGGCACATTCCGACTTGTCCAAGACGCCTGCTTTACACCATAATGAAAGCTTGGAAGCCTGACCGCTAGAGCCTTTTGGCCTTTCTGGCTCCTGACGCGGCTTCCGAGGAGTTGAGTGGATGCGGCATCCATTACACCACCATCCTAACCTGAAACCCATTGATGCATCGGCCCGAATGAAGAGTTGGCAGAATCAAGAACCCTTCGCTACAGTTCGGGGAGCGAAGTAAGTTCAGAAAGAGAAATGCACAAGTAGGAGTAGACCAAAACTTATTCCAGACAGTAAGCCGCACCACAAGGAAACTGACAACGTCGGAGTCGTTGTTTTCGGCGATGACCGAGCCATTGTCGAAGGTGGCTTGGTCAGAGATTCATGTTCCAGTAGGGCAAGGACAGCATCATATACTGTGGCTCGTATTGCTTGTGGGCTTGAGGTGACAGCGTGAAGTGCACGGGAACCATTGTGGATGTCCCCATTGGCGAGGAATTGTTGGCGCCTTTGTGAGCGAACGCGTTCAAACTTCACACTCGCTAGCGAGCATTGGCAAGCACTTTGACCGACCTCAGTAGCTCCTAGGCTGGGCCGTGTTGTGGATGCCCTGGGTACTCCCATCGACGGCGCTGGTCCGATTCAGACGAAGAGCCGACGCAGAGTGGAGCTCAAGGCAGGTCAGCGCAGGTCAGAAGATCTTTCCAATTGATGTTAGAGTTCAGCGCCCAGGCTCCCGGCATCATTCCCCGGCAGAGTGTGCACGAGCCTATGACAGATGGGATTCAACACTACATGTTGCACGCAAGAAGACTATCCTGACAGCTGCCAATAGAAGCCCTCAGTGTGGAGTGGTGCTGAAACGCAGAAGGGTGTGAGCTTGCAACTTCTGCTGGTAGCATTGCAGAAATACAGAAGGCACGACTTGATAAGCCGACAGCTGCAGGACCACAGGCCTGAAGGCCGTGGACAGCCTGATCCCGATCGGCCGCGGCCAGCGGGAACTGATCATTGGTGACCGTCAGACCGGGAAGACGGCCATCGCAATCGACACCATCCTCAATCAGAAGGTCTGCGAGCGCGCAGCATGCTTTGCACGAGGGGTTGACGGTGGCAATGCGTTCAGGCCATCAACGCCTCGGCTGACAAGACGGCCCACCTGTACTGCATCTACGTGGCAGTAGGCCGCGGCTCCCCCCCTATGCCAGTTTTTCTGGCCGCTTCTTTTTCGTGGGCATGCATGGGGAGCTTTTTGTGTACTGGGCACAGGACAAAAGCGATCCACGGTGGCTCAGCTCTTCGAGATTCTGCGCAAAAATGCCACTTTACTGTGAGATTGGAACGCGTTGTTCGGTCTGAATGCTTGCGTGACTAGGGTAGCATGAGCAGGAGAGGCACATCATTTTGCCCGATGCCGATGCTTTATGTTTCATAAGACTTTCGCAGTAGGGGAGGGCGTGACATCTTCCAAGCATCTTTGAGCCCTCTGCAAGGATTGCTTGAAATACACCACGGTGGTGGCTGCGACAGCCTCTGACGTCTGCGACCCAGAAATAGCGGAGTCATCCTGCGTTTGCCCGCAAAGCCGGAAACGTATGGGCATTTGAGCAGCTGCAGTAGCGTGGCTTTCGAAACCATTTGCCAGGCTGCACCTCTGCAATTCCTGGCTCCCTACACCGGCTGTGCCATGGCGGAGTACTTCCGGGACAATGGTAAGCATGCCGCGGGGCGCCTACGACACTTTGTGTGAGGAGCAAGTTTTGATCTGTAGTAGCAGCCGCTCGAGCTGTTGGGCCAAGCAAGACGCGTGTACGCAGGTCATCTTCTATGACGACTTGTCCAAACAGGCTGTTGCGTATCGCAACTTGGCTTTGTCGTAGCATAGCAAGGGAAACATTGCCCACAGCTGGCTGGACTCACCCACGTGAACCGGCTTGATCTAGGTGCATGTGTAATTACTGTAAGACATTTAGCTGTTCGAGCCTGATGAGTTTCTAGTTCTGTTGGGTTCAGGTCAGATGTCCCTGCTGTTGCGGCGTCCGCCTGGTCGCGAGGCTTATCCAGGTGGCTGCATGTGCCTGTGCTGTGTGGAAGCAGGGTCTAAGATGGAAGCTGCTAGTTTCGCAAGACTCATACCCACGAGCCTGTACTTCTTCGCGTCGACGAACACAAGGTGCACTTAACAGGCTCGACGAACAAAACAGTTAGAGCGGCAGGTGACGTGTTCTATTTGCACAGCCGATTGCTGGAGCGAGCCGCAAAGATGAACGAGGCCAGATGCAGGCTTCACACTTTTGATGCCGTGCGTGGTTTCCCAAGTCTGGCCCTGGCAGACCACCCACGGCGGCGGCTCCTTGACAGCCCTGCCAGTCATTGAGACCCAGGCGGGTGACGTGAGTGCCTACATCCCGACGAATGCCTCTTGCCCAGATGGAGAGCTGTGCGGACCCTTACAAGTATCATTCTCTTCACAGAATCGCAGGCCAGAGGGCCTCAGACGGGCAACACCTTGTTTCGGAAAGTGGGCTTTGCCCAAGGATTGCGACGCCTAGACCACACTGTCGCACAATCCATGTTCTAAGGTGTGCGGCATATGGCCATATATGGCCTCAATAAGCCAGGGAGGGAGCCACAAGATGCCACAAGCAACCATTCCAGAAAGGCACTAGGCATGCGCAGTTTTACATAACGCATTTCCGCAAACCGGAAACGTCTGCCAGGCATCCTGGGAACGAGTATGTGAATGATGTGTAGAAGAACCACCTGAGGTTATTTCCATCACTGATGGCCAGATTTTCCTGGAGACGGAACTTTTCTACAAGGCGCATTCCTGCCAGCATTCCGGCAGAAAAACTATTGCGTTCGTGGTTTCGAGAGCCATTGGTTCAAAGACTTTGAAAGAGGTTGAGAAAAGCAGCCCTAAACAATTGCACACCACTGGTTGAGAGTCGCTGCGTCGCTGCCAGGGCATCCGCCCGGCGGTCAACGTTGGCTTGTCGGTTAGCCGCAGCTTGGATGCCAGTAACTGCATATAGAAGGCCTTTTTGGTCCTCCCATAAACACGGTTTTCCTGGGCCAGGAATCAGAGGTCACTGCTTGTTCATGGGCACGATGCAGCTTTGACTTTTTCTTGTCGCATAGGTGTCGGCAGCGCCGCACAGATCAAAGCCATGAAGCAGGACTGGTGCGGTTTTCTTTCCGAATGCCTGAGCACTGAGCACCGGATCTTCGGTACTCCGGGAAACAAGAAGACAAAGAATGTACCACAACCAAGACGTCGGGACCTCATCCCAACATATCCCAAGCATATGCTTCATCCGAGAAGCTTGAATAAGTCAAAGTTTACCCACACAAACTCGACAACACCATTCCGTGAATTCTTTTGGCGCAGGTGGCTGGCACTTTGAAACTTGAGCTGGCGCAGTACCGCGAGGCAGCATGCGTAGTTTTGGCAGCCAGCATCCGAGACCAAGATTTAGACAGAACTCAGACATCAAGACTTGATGCAGGACATGAAACCACTCAAACACGGGGTGTGTGTAAGAGACCCCAGGCTCTATTTTGCGATTGTTGACGTTTGTGACTCCTTCTCTTTGCGACAATACTCGCAACAGCCCCTTCAAGCCACACAAGGGAATCACTGGCATAAGCAAACTCGATACATGAAGCCTGAGACTTTTCGAGGTTGCCGCTTTCGCACAGTTCGGCTCAGACTTGGATGCAGCCACGCAGCATCAGCTGCTACGAGGCCTCCGATCACTGGTAACTACGCAGCTTGTAGGCTGAGGCTGCCGTGAAGGTTTCATTCTGTTTAGCGGGACGTACAACAGTAGCAGGGGGCTGCGCTATGTGTTAGATGAATTGGCAAATCGGGTTGGAACCTTGCCCGCCTGAGTTTTTTGGGTCTGTTGACTCAGGCAACATTTCGGCACTGTTGCCAGCCTCCCTGACTTGCTTGGTGAAGCAACATTTTCGGTACAGTTGGCCGCCTGAGCCTCCGTGGCCTGCTTTTCGGGCAACATTCCGGCCCGGCACAGTTGCCCTCGTGTGCCTACTTGGGCCTGAGCCGTAACGTATTTGAGAGGAGCGGCCTGAATGTAGCTGAAAGAGACCAGAGGACGCGATGCGAACTGGATTAATTCCGTAGAAGCGACGTATTGACGAAAAAAACCCAAAGGGTAAGATGCTTTTGAAGATTCAGAATTCAGAACCCTTGAGGAGCGCAGGATTCGGCAATCGGCCGAATTGTTTGTTTCGCTTCGTTTTTCATGTAGTCCATCCCAATAAGGACAAGCAGGCAAACTTTACATACGAGAATCCTAGATTCGACACACCCAACAGGTTAAAGAGCTTTGGTTTTCCGACATGGGCACGCGGATTCAGTTTTTCAGATTCAGGGCCATCAGGCACGGGCATATCGAGGGCAGCGCCAGAAGTAATGTGTCGTGAGGAGTGGACGGACCTTCACAAAGACACCCCCCAGTGTGCACATGATCTTGGAATGGTCGGAAGTAATTAGAGGTTGGTGGGATTCCTGTGCAAATGCGGATGACAAGAGCGGAAACGTGGTCGGAAATACTCATGGGCCGGAAGAAGACCGCAGGTGCGCAGGAGTAGATTGGCTTAGGCGCGATCATGCGCGATCGGAAATACGGAGTTGATAAAGCATAGCAAAAGCATGATCAGACATACGGAAGCGACTCAGCGAAGTGGAAGTGATTGGGAATACTGCGCGTGTGGATAAGAAGATGTCCGAGAGGAAGCGCATCACTCAAACAAAGAGGCAGGAGATAGAGGAGAAGTGCGCTACGGGAATATGGGCGCTGCGCGGGAAATTAAGACCGGCCATGACCCTGGAGTGGCAAAGGGGGACTTTCCTGTGTGTTTCCTTCATTTTGGAACTCCTTGGTTTTGAGCAGAACTTACCCGCCCTGCCCACCCTCTGTTCAAAGCTGACTAGAGCGGCTGCCTTCGCTCCCATTTGCTTCATTTTGGGGTGTATGGAACAAAGCCTCCAAAGGTAAGGTAAGAAATCTATCATTAAGTTTCTACACACCCAATAACTTTAGCGTCCAAGGCATAGGACGGTATGTGCAACACTGTATGCGTGTTGATAATCGCTCATCCTCCCAGCTCGCACTGCATGAAGTATGAGCAGGTGGCATTCTCACAGAGCTGCTGAAGCAGAAGCAGTTACGATCTCAGTGAGCATTCGGAAGTCAGTCAGCCGTGCAACGCAAGAGGTTATTGCGTAAATCCGATGGCAGCAAAGTTCTATTTTGAAACGACCTGCGAAGCCAGAACTGCAGGTTTGAAAGTGGCAAGTTGAGATTTCTGAAATTTCACTAATTGCGCAGGTTCGTGCCCATGACTACTGCAGAGATTATTGTCTCGTTGTGGGCGGGAACCCGCGGCTATCTTGACAAGGCCAGGTAATCCTGTGTTGAGAATGCTGGGTCATGTTACCACGCAGAAGTAGCGCTACTGCATGCATTGAAGATTGCGCATCCGTGCCGCAGATTTCAAGTCACTGGTTCCGAAGATGTAGCGATTCTCAAGTGTCAGTCATTGGACGGCATCATGTAGTCAATGTCTCCTTGATAGTGGGGAAGAGCAGAGCACAGGTCGCCACGAAGGAAATCCTCCGTTTCGAGTCCCTTTGGTTGAAACACTTCAAAGACACCAAGGGCGACGTCCTCAAGGCACCTGGCAGAAATTGCAAACACAAGAGAATGAGTGACTCCTACTCATACTCGTAGGTGGTTGGGTGACGTAATCTTGTGAAAGGGCACAAGCGCTTTCGGATCATGGCCTGAGTGTGTAGTGGCTTTTGCGCAAGGAGATCATGGAGAAGAAACAGATCACGCCCGAGATTGAGGGCAGCATCAAATCTGCCATGGACGAGTTCTTGCCTCAATGGGCATGGCATCAAAATGGTACGTGGGAAGCAAGGGCTTAGTTAGCGCTGATGCAGATTCAAGATCAAACCAGATTCTGGGATCTAGCGGGCGCGCAACCCAGGTTCCTCGGCATGAACGAGTTCGAGGGCCGCGCCGCATAAGCACGTGAAAATGGTGCCGGGCTTTGAGATTACACGTTTGGGAGCAGAGTCGCTTGCAGTGACTTCAGAGTCTCGAATCAGTTTCTGGCATGGCCGAGATTCCCCAGCCAGCTGTTGCTTGAGCCAGAGGTGTATGGAGAAGGAGACGGAGGGCCGCAGCAGCCGGCAGAGCGAGAAAATCAAAAAGGGTTCAGAGGCCTAGCTGTCTCCTAAGTGCTCTTTGCACCAACCCCCGACGTCTCAGACTTTACCGTTGCTTCCCTTTCTTTGCTTTTATTTCGAATATCTTGCACACTAGATAGAGAGCAAGCGTTGTGCACAGACCGCCGTGCTGTACCTACTTAGTTACTTAGCCGTACACCACCTGCTTGGAACATGCCTCTGCCGAAGAAAAACAAGTAGCCGACGAGCGAGATGCACGCAGGTGCTGGATTTCAGGGGCTGGGTGTCCCAATCAGCTTGAAGCAGCTCTGTCTCTTCGTATATACGAGATTGGGACATCTGTTTTGGGACCCCACATCTTGTTTTTGATTTAGCAGAATCTGAATCTCAGTCATCAAGATCTCAGCTCTCAATGCTCGACCCAACAGGATTGTTTGTAAGATGTGTTGTGGATGCCGGGTGCTGGCTTTGAAGGACTGGACGAGCAGCGAGCAGGCTTAGAAAAGAGCGCTGCAATCCACTCGAGCTGACGCAGCGCCCCACCCCGTGTGCTTCAAGCGACGTGTAGTTGTAAATGCCGCAGTGACTCTTGCTGCATCTCTTGCAACTTGACTGTCGACTCTACAGACTTCACTGTTGGCTCCGGTAGAGAACTGTTGCGACGGTTCCTGCCAGCCCGGAGGCGGTGAAGATGGACACTGGCTGAGAGGATCCCGGGGATTCCGCAATCTTAAGAATGTTCCAAGCAGCCGCTGTACAAATATCCGCAAGGTCGTGTCATACCATCCAGCAATAGCTACTGCAACACAATCCATTCACTGATTTGTTCATTGAGTGACCATGCCATTTGTATCAATGGGTAAGTTGGAAATGGCGGGTTTGGGGTTTGTGCGGAGTTCAGAGATTGGATGCCGGGCGCGGAGACAAAGGTCTACAGGGCCTACAGGGTTTCGGAGATTTTTTTCGGGTAAGATTGAAGATACAGACTTGAAATCTAGAATCTAGAATATGGTTCCTCGAAATTGAGGAAATGAAAATCAAAAATAATATTCTTTTCAATAATGTATATTATCATAAGGATAAGGTTTGAAGAAAAAGGCTAGATCCCTATCGATATGATATTGATGGATTCTTAAATCATATCGAAATTCGATCATCTCGAGAATATTGAATTTTCAAATTAAAATCTTTTTGGGATTGATTTGAGAATTCCTATTCAATATTTTCAAGAAGAATTTCTACTCTATAAAACGCTACGGTCAAACCAGCCCTATGCGGTGCGTCACGCCTCGGAGTGCCCCAGCCCCAAAATTTTCCGGAAATTTCTGGACCCCGGTGAGCAAGCCGCTTTGGCCTACCCGGGACCCAAAATTTCCGGGAAATTTTGGGGCTTGGGCTGTGCCCTTTGAAAGGCTGGGCCTCTTCGACGGCCGCAAGCCGGATTCGCTCCCCTAAATTTCTGGAAAATTTCTGGTTCCGGGTAGCCCGAAGCCTCGGTCCCTAAATTTCCGGAAAATTTGCTTCATCGCTTTCCTAAATTTTCCGAAAATTTACACACCCAAAATTTTCAGGAAATTTAGGAAACGGATGCAACCTGATCATGTTCAGAAGCCACGGCCCAGCTCCCTAAATTTCCGGAAAATTTAGGGTGTTGGGTGGCCGAAAATGTCGAAGCATTGTTGACCGCTTGAACCGTTGAGTTCAGGTGTTGATCATTTGCCATGTTGTTACATGCTTTCATTGCATGCTTTCATTGTTTTCAATCGTGCTTTGTTTTGTGGCATTACAAAGCTAAAATATTAAACAGGACTTTTACTTCACTTCCAAGATGAGCGCATCACCTGGCATTACCAGGAAATTACGAGCGTGCTTTGTTTTAT